CAGTTCTTTTTTTTGTATTTGATCTAAAAAATGCTTGTCACAATCCGACACGAAACAGTTATCAGATAAGATTAAAGTGTTACTGGTTGGTTCCAAGATACATGTTGATCTCCCCATAACAGGTGGAATATTTGTTTTTTGTATGCAAGCATCACTATGATTGTTAGAAGACGCTGTAATGTTTGAGATGTCTTTATCTCTATTTGTAGTAGTTAATACAACAATATTATTTGGCCTGACCAAATTACTATAGGAAATATATTGCCTGAAAAGGCTACATAGTTTGTTTTTATTTAATCGATAACCTTGCTCATATTTGACGTTTTCAATTATTCGTACTGATACATTACCTTTCTTAACAAATGAACTGCAAAACATGTTCATTCTCCTGTACATATTTTTAACCTTATAATTTTGTGGCGAATCATAGTTTAAACACAAAATAAGATTAGTGTACCTTCCAATAGATAAAACATCTCTTATATCTTTAAACCTTAAATTTAAATTATCATCAATTATCAAAGAAATTATTATGAAATCATTATAACTGAATTGCATAGACATACTAAACGTACTACTTACAATTTCACTTATTGGAGCTAATTTTTTTGTTATACCAAATACCTGGAAATTGTCATTTAATAATGATTTTAGGATTTTTGCACAATCTTTTGCAGATTCATCACCAGAGATTAATACGTTGATTTCTTCTCTAACCTTCCCACTTGCTGGCAACCTGTCTATTTTGTTAGTGTGATTTTCTCGAGGATTTTCTTGATCCTGTGCATATTTTATTTTCCCATAGACACTCCGCTTATCACTACTGTTTGTGTTTTGAAAAGTGTTCATTCTTGACGGAAGATTACTACCATCAACTTGGCCATCATTTTCTTTGTTAACACCTATGGAAACACCCTTGTTGTCTTTATCTGTTATTTGTGTACTGATGTCTTCATCCGAAACACTCCATATCTTGGTTTGAGTCTCACGTGATACTTTAATAGTAATCATGTCATACACGAGTAAGGCCTCTTTTATTAGATCGTCATCAATAGTTGTCATTGTATGAATATTTCTCAGGTTACTACTATCTGTTTGTGCTTCCCCTACATTAAAAGTTTTAGATTTGTCTATGTCTATGTTTAAGGGGTTAACTGATGTTTCAGTCTCACAAGATTTCAAGAACTTTGGCAGTGTCTGTGTTTCATCAGAATGATGGATTGAAGTTTCTTTACTGTCTGTATGTTTTTCTTTTCTAGCTTCTGACAAAGCTTTATGTAGCTGTACAATTGTTGCTTCAAGATGTTGAATTTTATTTCTATAGTGGTCTTCCATGTCGAATACCTCCTCTTCAAAAACACTTGAACGACGTTTTATTTCTTCAAAATGTTTACTGTGGTGATTCAACTGTTGTTGTAAATCAGCATTTTCAGCAGTTAGTTGTGCAACTATTTCCAGTGTGTCGTTCATTTCTTCCCCTTTTTCCATACATAAAGTGGAGCAATATATTTTATGTCCCTCCAACAGTTTCCAGTTCTTTTTTCTAGACCAGCAGGATTTGTGCATTATTGAATTGCAAGACACGCAACAATATAAACGAATCTTTTGCTCCTTATTAGGACAACAGGGAAATATCACATTTTCACTGTCGCTTTCTGACATTACTCTTCTCGTTATTGCTTGCATTTTTAGGCAGCTGGTTTTAATTTTGTCAGTATAGAGACAAAATGCTTTAACATTGAATACGGTCCTGTCTAATATTTCCAAAATAAACAATATAAACAATAATACTCAAGGGGATTCCACATAAACACAATAAAACGTTTAGGAATTCCGCTGGTCACCAAAAAAGTAGTAAACAAACTCTTTAGCTGATAAGAATCCTTTGTGCTACAAGTAAACGATTAAACGATTTTCAGACAAAGTCTACACTAAATTTAAAACAAGTATTAATATTAACACTTTCACGCTTTTATTTTAATGTTTATGACGTTTAGTTTACCGCCACTGTATCACATACATTTTTACGAATACACCAATACCAAAGAAGGATTAAATTGATCCAAATATACTTGAAAACCTTTGATAATAACGGAGCGAAATAAAAGTACGTATTTACACGCCGACGACCAATAGCTATTGATGAATGCTTTATACGACAAAACATAGAAAAACGCAAAAAAGTAAATTTCTGCAGCCCAGGCAGGAATTTAATGGGTGAAACGTTTGAGTTAGATGGCTACGGTTTGTATGGAATTATTGATACTGGAGCAGATATATCATTAGTTGCTGAACGCCATTTACCGAAATTTGGAAGCAAAATTTCAAACTGCAATCTGATTATTTCTGGTATCTTAGATGGCAGTTTAACAATTAAGAAAGAAATTAAAGCGGCTTTGAAAATTGGCGATGTTACTACCGAAATGATGTTTCATGTAGTTCCAGATCATATTCTTGAACATGATGCTATCATTGGGCGCAATCTCTACGACGATCCAGAGATTTATACAATTACAGATCATAATGGTACGCGTGTTGTCCGCAGCAAAACCGCAAGAATATTTCGAGTTATGCCAGAAAGTGTTCAAGAATTAATAAATGTCCCAGAAATATATCGTCCAGAACTCGCCTCTGTACTAGCAGAATTTCCAGAATTGACTCCTACAGATGGGTTTCTTCCTGAAGTGAATAATGCAACTTTGAAAATAAGGCTTAAGGAAGAATTTGTTGTAAATCGTAACCCATATCGTTTAGCAGCTAGTGAGAGACAAGCGGTTCGTGAAATCGTCCAAGAACTTATGATGAAAAATATTGTTCGAGAAAGTGAGTCCCCATTTGCAAGCCCCATTATTTTAGTGAAAAAAAAGGAGGGACCGTATAGAATGTGTGTGGACTATAGAGAACTCAATGCGCACACTGTAAAAGACAAATTCCCTCTCCCGCTGATTGACGATCAACTGGACCGTTTAGGAAAAGGCAGTATTTTCACGTCACTTGACATGTCTGCAGGGTTTCACCAAATTCCAATTGATGAAGACTCAATTGAAAAAACAGCTTTCGTCACACCTGACGGACACTTCGAATATTTGCGAATGCCGTTTGGGTTGGCCAACGCTCCTGCTGTATTCCAGCGATCCATTAACAAAGCTCTTGGCCAGCTCAAGGATAACGTAGCACTAGTCTATTTGGACGACATCCTTATACCATCCCAAACAATCGAAGATGCTTTGGAATCACTAAGGCTTGTTTTTAGAGCTTTGCAACAGGCTGGATTTTCTTTAAATTTAAAAAAGTGTCACTTTTTGCAAGACAAACTTGAGTACCTGGGAAGGGAAGTATCTGCAGAGGGAATACGACCAGGTCCCCGTAAAGTAGAGGCACTTTTAAATGCACCAACACCAACGTCGGTTAAACAAGTCAGACAGTTTATGGGCCTGGCCGGATATTTCCGGAAATTTATACCGGAGTTCGCAGCAAGAACTGCATGCATTACTAAGCTGACTCGTGCTAATGAGCCCTTCTCGTGGACTAGTGAACAAGAAGTAGCCAGAAAGTATGTTATGGACTACTTAACTTCTAGACCATTATTGGCTATTTTCGATCCTACCCTGCCAACCGAACTACATACGGATGCCAGCTCAATTGGATATGGTACATACAAAAGCAAGAAGGAAACACGCGCGTTATTGGATATTTTAGCAAACGTACCTCAAAATATGAAGAACATTATCATTCCTACGAGCTGGAAACTCTTGCTGTTGTTAACTCTCTCCGACATTTTCGTGTCTACCTTTTGGGAGTACACTTCACTTTGGTCACTGATTGCAACGCAATAAAATCTACTGCAACTAAAAAAGATATTTTGCCACGGGTAGCCAGATGGTGGATCTATATGCAAGATTTTAACTTCTCCATAATATATCGCAAGGGCAGCTCCCTGCCGCATGTTGATTACTTGAGCCGCAATCCGATAGTACGTCGTGTAAATGCCAAAGAAAATAACTGGCTTTATATAGTGCAGAGAGGCGACTCAGAAATTCTCCAGTTAATCAACGATGCAAAGGAAGGCCGCATCGATAGGACCCATTATGTTGTTACAAATGGTATATTGCATTACGTTCTCAACTCTCCTGATGGTAAAAGTACAAAGCCATTTGTTCCAAGGCAAAGTCGTCTCGGATTATTACGAATTTTCCATGACGAGCAATGCCACGTGGGTACTGAAAAAACTATCGAACTCATCCAGAGGCATTTTTGGTTTCTACGACTCAAGTCATTTGTCAAGAAATATATCAAACATTGCTTAATTTGCGCTATCAAAAAAACTCGAACGGGTCCATTACAAGGCTTTATATCAAATGTTGAAAAACCGCAATCACCTATGCAAATTTTGCATGCTGATTGTTTAGGTCCACTAGTGAAATCCACCGAAGGATATAAACATATACTCGTTATAATAGATGCTTTTACAAAATACTGTTATCTACAACCTCTGAAAACAGTAAAAGCCGAAGAGACACAAACTGCATTCCAATCGTTTATTGCTTTATTTGGAACACCTACCCAAATTATAATGGATGCGGGTACAAATTTTAAAAATTTGAGCCTTCCAGAGTTTTTGGAAACCCTTGGTATCACCTTTCATTACACAACACCCGATATTCACCGTTCCAATGGACAGGTGGAACGCTATATGAGGACTTTGATGAACTTGATAAGAATTGAGACTAAAGTAAATTTAGAATGGCCAAAGACACTTTGGAAGATTCAACTTGTGTTGAATACCACACTCCAGAAATCTACGCAAACTACACCATTAAGAGCCCTTATAGGAATTGACGGATCTACGCCGCTCATCCAAAGTCTGTTGAACAATTTGAATAAAGACATGCATCCAATTAGAAATATGGAATTGGACAGAAAACGAATCAATGACCACTTAGAAAAAAACAGAAGCTCCAAAATAGATAGAAATAGAAGGCGCCGAAACACCATCAGTTTCGTCAAGGGAGAATTTGTACTCATGCATAGGGATGAAACAATGCATAAGGGAAAGCTGAATTATGAATTCCAAGGTCCATTTGAAGTTATGGGTATCACTTCCGAAGGACGTTACGAATTGAGACGAGTAGGAAAAACTACAATAACGAAAGCTGCCAAGGAACAACTTCGCGAATGGCCGAAAGACTGGTCGCTTACGATGGACCTGCCGGAATTGCTTGATGTATTGGAAAATGACCCAAGGTCAGTATAAAATGTTATGTTGAGCCATGTTAGGAATATTAAAATAATGTATATTTGGGTGTATTTTTGTTGACGTTCAAATGCTTGTACGCTTTACGTTTATTTATTTGTATGTGTGTTGAAATGCTTGTACGCTTTACACAGTGTAGAACGTTCGAATGCTTGTACGCTTCACGTTTATTTCTTTGTGTGTGTGTTAAAATGCTTGTACGCTTTACACAGTGTATAACGTTCAAATGCTCGTATGCTTTACGTTCATTTATTTGTATGTGTGTTGAAATGCTTGTACGCTTTACACAGTGTATAACGTTCGAATGCTCGTACGCTTCACCTTTATTTCTCTGTATGTGTGTTAAAATGCTTGTACGCTTCACCTTTATTCCTTTGTATGTGTGTTAAAATGCTTGTACGCTTTACACAGTGTAAATCGTTGAAATGACCGTACGCTTATTTATTTGTATGTGTGACAAAAGGCTTTATACGCTTTACACAGTGTAAAATATTGAAAAGCTCTTAACGCTCTACGTTTGATTGTTAATTAAGCCTGTATGCCTGTTGCTGAATGAAGGAATATTTGTGCCTCTAATTCGGATATGAAATAAATGAAACTTTCGTCATTTTAGTACCAACGCCGAGAGTACTATGGAACCTGTTGATGAAGGTGTTGCAGAATGACAAGGACTCCGAGATCGAAGTCCTCGCAGGATTGGCCGTGTTAGGAATATTAAAATATTTCATACCCTTATTGAAATATTCCGCTGACTAATCTGTTTTTTTTTTGTTGTTTGTTGATATATCCGAAAAGGTGAGCCGCGATCGGTCGTGTCGACTTCACTTCGGTGACGACTCTAGCACGCTCGTGTTATTAGCCGCTCGATTTATTTTGTTTGTAATTTATTGATTTATAGTTGTGTATACTCATCAAAAATATTGTCGAAGTTAGTGCAATAAATATTCTGTTGTCAAATTGAGTTGAGTTGTGTCTTTTAGGATTTTTCTAACAGTAGTATTTTGTATTTGAGATTGATTGGAATTTGGGTGATTTATCGGTAAGTTAGTCTGGGATTGATGTAATAGCGTAGCGTGGCGTTGTTTGCATATTTTGCAACCCATAGATCTGCAGTCAGAATATTTATGTCCGTACCTAAGGCAATTTGTACATAATTTTAATTTTCTTGTTTGATTTAAACGATCTGGTATCGAAAGTTGTTTAAACTTTTCGCAATAATAAATGAAGTGTTGATCCTTACAGTGCGGGCACTTTGGACGATAACTATTATTGTCGTTTGTAGTTACAAAAGATTTGCTTTCAAATGATTTTTTAGAACTTGAACTTGGAGAGTTAACTAATGATTTAGAGTCTAAATGTTCTAAAATTTGGCAACGCTGAATTAAAAATTCATTAAAATCATCGACTTTTGCAGATTGGATATTTTTACAAAAAAAATCCCATTCTCGCCGGGTATTATTATCTAATTTTGAGACTAATATGTATATTAAAATAGTGTTCCATTCCTTAACATTTTCACCTAGCGCTTCAAGTGACCGGTAACTTTTAAAAAATGTATTTGAAAGACCACGAAGTAATACATGGGACTCTTTGTTTATGTTTGGAATTTCCATAATTTCTTTTATGTGAGAGTTTATTATAATTTTTTTATTGTCGTATCTTTTTTCTAATAATTCCCACGCAATTTTATAATTATCGGTCGTAGCTGATAGTGAAGCTATTAGATTTTTAGGCTCACCATGCAAGGCACCTTCTAAATAAAGAAATTTAGTAACATCAGGAATTGAAACGTTATCGTGGACAATCGCTTTGAACATGTCTTTAAACCGCTCCCAATCACTATAATTTCCAGTAAATTCTGGCAATTTTAGCGTTGGTAACTTTGCTGCCAAGTTTGGCAACAGCGCGCCAAATTTCTCTTCCCTGACATGATCAAGCTTGCGATTGGACGCGCCACTGGCGTCGCCCAGGCGCTCTTCAGCCATCATTGCTTGGTTTTGAGCGCGTTTACGCCAGAAATATTCATCGATTGTTCTTTGAGCTAAAGCCATAGATTCAAAAAATCGGTTTTCAAATGTTTCCCGTTCTAAGTTTGATTCTTCTTCTTCATAATTATTTGGAAACTCGCTTAATAACAATTCTTCAAAATCAGTTTGTACATTTTGAAATCGTGATAAAATTGATTTAATATTATCAAAACGTATTTGTAATGATTCTATTGGTTGGTCATCAATATCGAAATTATTTACAAATGCTTGGAAACGTGTTAATTCGGTTTTTAGTTTATTTTTGGAATTTTCCAAACGTTTTCGATCAAAATCGGGATATGTGTCACCTTCATCAGACATAATGAATAGTTTTATATTACAAAAGGTTAAAACAAAACTGTACTATATGTTTTTAATACCGAGATTATGAATATTTCAATTTTTCGAGGGTTTTGCACGAATATTATTATTCACGACAAAATCTGTGGTGTAAACAGAGTCAACTAACATAAATAACGAACAAAATATACCTAATATTTTGCAGGTTAAAACAATGAAATTGGTTATAATTTAAACTAAATCAATAAATATATTACTTACGTAACGTGGATGAAAACAATCACCAAATAAAAGCACATGCAATCATGCAATAAACCCTTTTTGTTTATCAAACTATCGACGATTCAAAATAAAAGTAATCGCGAAAACTACGTGAAAATCGTGAAAGCAACGTGAAAATCGTGAAGCAACGTGAAAATCGTGAGAGTTAAATTCAAATTAAGAATTAACGAGAAATAGATTGGTATTTACACCCAAATTTAAAAAACGAGACGAAATCAACGAGAAGCTACAGCTTAAAAAACGAGACGGATTTGAATAAAATACCGTGAACGAGGCAGTTTCAAAATTCGAGAGAAATCTGCATAGGTTTATAGGCAAACGGGTTTAGGGTAAAAAATATACGTGTTGTTATTGGAAAAAAGGACTGACCTTATGTTTTCCTTTATGTTGCTTCCGTGGGCACTCAGTACAGCAGCCAATAATTATTATTTATTTTGTTGTCTTTAAGGCACTGGTATCGGGGGAGAAGGACCAATTTTTATGTTAGTGTTTCCCTGGGTTGACTTCGGGAAATTTAAACACCAAACTATTTTGTTGTTGTTTTTATTATTATAACGACATTTTTTAATATTAACTTGATACACTGGTATTCAGAGAGAGAACAAAAAATGTTTTGCTGCTGCTTGTACCTTTCACAACGTTGTACAGTACAGCCACAGCCTCCTATAGTTAACAAGCCATGAAATTGGAAATGACGGCAACGTCGCGTATGGTGCTATTTTGTTATTGGGTTATGTGTTTCTGTGTATTGCTTTCATTGTGTATTGTTGCAATTTAGTATTTTTATGGGCATTATTGACGAAAAAGTGGATAGAAACACACCAATATATTTCCCATATTTAGTTGATACCTGTTCCTTTGTGCTTTGATTGCAAATTTTTAGCAAATGGGTACAGGAGCAAAAATGAAGGTAAGCTAAGGTAAAACAATAAAAACAATATTAATATTTGTCTGCAAGAGCATAGGTCTCGATATATTACCTAAGATATTTAAACTTGTTCCAGATGCCATGAAACTACTGTGTTCCTGGGTGCAAATCGAACTATTAGGAGTTCCTTAAAAACTGAAGAAATGCAAACATTTTTATTTCCAAAAAAATTCTGAAGTGCAAAAAATGTGGATGAAAGCAATACACCAAGATAATTATACCCGAGATTATACAATAACGAAAAATTCTGTGGTGTGTTGTAAACATTTTGAAGAAACCGAAATAATTAGATTTGAAACAAACAAGGATAAAGGCGTAGTTCGAGAGTTCAAACTAAAACGTCCAACTCTTAAAAGTAGGTACCTCTTATTTTCGAAAATCAGCTCAAGTATTTGAATGGACTTGCCTTCCGAAAAAATCCCGAAGAAAGAAAAAGTTAGATTTTCAAAAGACATACTGAAACATAGGCCTATAACACTTTAGACTCTAGAAATATATTCATTTAAATCAATTATTTACTGTTCTTATTTACACAAATAGTTAAATTATTCATTGAATTACTGTTTTTGGCCCTTCAGTACAATAAATTATGTATTTTTTGTGATTCATATTAATAAAATAAAAAATATATATTTATACAAACAAACACCACCAGCACCACTTGGCGGTAAGATTGCGGTGTTGCCTTTTTAACTTCATGGCTTGTTAAATGTAGGGGGCTGTGGTACAGCCGTCTACCTGGCGCCTGGCCGGCGATGTCTCGATCTCGTATTCAAAAGCGGCGTTGCCGAGATTAAATAAAAAACCAATTCTTAACACAGTCATAGTAAGCTTTGTACTGACGTTGCCTGACAAAGTTAATTTAGTTATAGAGTAGCGTCCCTGGAGCTCGCTTTGTTTTTCAAATAAAATGCTAACTTACCAGAGATCGCACTAGACGGACGGGTTATTTCGGGTTAGTTTGAGTAAGTCTACATTTTCTCGATCATTATTGATTCAAATTGATGCGTCGCTTTTTTGTCTAGAGGTCGCCGTTTCAAATGTCGCTGTTTTAAATTTCGTTCTTTTCATAATATGTCGCTCTTTTGCAAAGTCGCTGTTTTAAAGTATCGCGCTTTTGAATGTCGCCCTTTTGATATGTCGCTGTTTTGCTTAGATGTCGTCGTTTCAAATGTCGCGGTTTCAATATGTCGCTCTTTTGATAAGTCGCTGTTTTGATTTGCCGCTCTTTTTGAGTGTCGCTGTTTTGAATGTCGTTAAAATGAGACCGCCATTTTGAATATCGCCGTTTTGAATATCGTCCTTTTCAACCGGAGCCGTGAATTATTTGTTTAGAAGTTGTTAGTTGTAGTTTTGTTAATTGAATAAATGTTTGTTGTTTATAATAAATATCCAAATAAATATTTTTTTAATTTACAATAGTACTTGAGTACCAGGGTGAGCGCCAGTTAGG